TCTTCATGTTCCCTCCTCCTCCCAGTATGCTGACATATTCACTAAAGGACTTCCCTCGGTTCTCTTCCTGGATTTTCGCACAAGCCTGGGAATTCGTCCCCCACCGCAGCCGACGTAGCCGGGAGCATGTTAAATATATTTAATATATATTTATGTTAAGTATATTTAATGTATTTATTATTATATCATTGTATTATTGGTAGTTACCTTTTGTATAGGTTTCCTTAATTATACTCTTACCATGATTAGGAGTCCCATCTTGTATATAAATATGGTTGTACTCCTACACAATTAATCAATTGAAAATATTCATTCTTCAATCTGTCTAATTTTATTGTTCTCCCATTGCATGACTTTTATTCCTTTGAGAATTTTCACAAAATTCTTAACTTTAATTCCTTCTTGGGTCGTCGGCCACCTGCAATCAACCACCAACCAGAAAACAAGCCCCTGCTTTTTCGTCTTCCAAGCCACTAAGCGAAAGCTATCCCGCTGATTCATTTTTCTCGCGCTGTTTGGTTGGAATCTTTTTGCCAAAGAAAAAAACTAGTCACCTGTTATTTTTGTCCTATGCGAGGAAGAATCTTGTCAAAGATTCTTGATTTGTTCTTGAGGAAGTCTCTAATGCTTTGTATAATGATCTTGTAGCCCCTCTGCTCCCGATTGAACAACTCCTGATCACAAGACATATCACTCTCTTTGACTCTTGAGTCTTTGATGGATTTTTGCTCCGATACCAATTGTTAGACAGGACCAGATCAAAGTAAAGTAGACTATTTTATTGATGTGTACCATTACAAGATTCATTATGTTCTCTAATATAAATAGAAAACAAATCAACACAACTTTTACTAACCAACACAACTATTACAAACCAACACACTTATTAACATTAGAAACTACCTATAACTGCCTTTTAGATACTACCTAACTGTTTTTTATTTAAATTAATTAAATATTTAAAACATACTAAACGACACCATACTAACGACTCGAACAATGACCCCTTACCCATTCGGTTATATGTAATATGTGAACAAACCCGATTAAATCTAACACTAACCCCTTAACCCCGATAAACTTTCATCTCGCCCTGGCCCGAACATACCCCTCACCTTCTTCAATTGCACACCAAAGTTAATTTGATTTTGGAATCAATTTTTTGACCTATTTCAACCAATAGGCATCAATTCATTTTATCAAAGAAACTCCTAACTTGCACTTGAACCTATTCAATATCAATTTTTGTCTTTTAAAATTGACATCATTCAACATGTTTCTAACTCAAATCAAATGAATCATAGAATAATTTAAATGAATCATTGTTTGCAGAAAACTAACTATACATTTTTTGAATTTTTATTTGTTCAACATTATCTCAATATCGTTTCAATATTTTTTTTATTTAGTGTAAGGTCAAATAGACAAGATTAATTTAGAATGCCGATGATATTTTGCCATAAAGAGAACAAAAAATGTAAAAAACAATTTAAGATGGATGAAATAGAAATGGAAAATATTTTTATGATAGAAGTAGCTTTTTTAACGCATAAAATCAGCAAAAGTTGAATAATTTTTCAATGAAATATCCTACATAGGAACATGAAGTTTGTGCACACAAAACTAAAATGAGTAATTTACGTAAATTTGATTCAAAGATATCACTTTTCTCTAAATAAGACAAATCATATCTACTATAATGTTTGACAATGAAAAGTTCTAAAATGTACTGCCTTTAAGAAAAAATGACCTATTACACAATTTAAATAGAGTAAGTCATTATTGAAAACAATTTGAATAGTTATTAAAATAATTCGTTATTATCCAACACGTGTTTCTAATGACCGCATTCATAGTGTCATTCGTATAATCAGTCATTATCCAACATTTCTTGCTAATAAGGGCATATATGACAGATCATATGTAATTACATACCATAAAAGGAATAAAACATATTTGGTCCTAATCAGAGAAATGTACTATCTTTTAGTCCTATATCGTGCAAATATTTCTACTAAATTTGCCTTATCCAGCAAAATACATTTAAATATTTTATGTATTAAGGTCTATGAAAATGAGTATGAAATTAAGAAGTACAAAACAATTTGTGGCAATGATTTAGAAGAAGAATAAATAATTGTATTACCTGAGAATACGCTGATAAGCCTTGCCCAGTTTGCCACAAGGTTTACTTAGATATTTTTGATGAGCATACGATCCATTACAAGGAGTTATATAAGTTTAAATACAAACATACTTTTGTGAGAGATATTTTTTGTAATGTTCTAAAGTGGCTAGAGATTTTGGCTGAGAATGATGCTCCACTGAACTTTCGGACGGATCCGCTTGAAGGGAGATCTACTCTACGACCAGCCGATATTCTTGTGCTTGGAAGGGCAGGGGGAGAAACATGTGTGTGTGAACCTTACAGATGTGTCTCCTCAAGGATAATGGGTTTGTTGTTGGTCAGATAATTTTGATGGCGGAATCAAGCAAGCAAAGGTGCTAAACACAAGAAGGTTACTTAAAAATCAACATGTCTTTATCTAATTTGCGTTTGATACATTTGATTACTTATCCCGAGAAACTATGGAATTTCCGAATAGAGTCCAATGGGTCGTGCACAAGAATGTCTCGAACTCCTAGGACTCATAACTTTATTTTTAGTGGGATTGAGTAGCAAGAGAGGATCGTTGCGCAGCTTTTTGCCTGTTTGTCCATCATTTTTTTTTGTAATGAGATTACTTATTTGAATGCATGTTTGAAAATATATATATATATATTCTCAAACCTTCATCATTGATTGAGCCATCATCATTTTTGCCTCTAAGCTTTGTGATGAGAAAGAGAGGGATTTCAATCAAGCGCTCTCTCAAATAAACCCACACCGGAAGTGGGAGCGATGGGTTCAATTGTTGTGGTGCATAAAGCCAAGGATTAGATGACCGGTTCAGGCATGATCCTTCTGGCAAGTTTTTAGGGGATGTGTTGAGTGGTCAATGCTCACATTTGATGTGAGATGGGTGTCCGCTCCGCCAGCACGACAATAGGGCACTCCCATCTTTAGCCATCTGATCCCTTCTACTCATATTTTAGAAACTATTTTTACGTCTTGTATTTGACGTCTAATTTTATTACTCTTTTCTTATCTTTTTCGTTCAAAGTTTTTTGTTTTATCTTCTGAAAAAATGAGTACTATTTTTTAGAACGAGTGAATAAAACCATAGTGACTGAGTGATTTGCCAAAGAATTGTGATAATTTGATTTTTTCTACTTTTTTATTGAAGTTCGTAGTTAAGGTTAAATACTGTGTATCATAATATTATACCCGGAGTAATTCTCAAAGCAAATCTCAATTTTAAAATAGTGCAACCAAGTTATATCTAAGTGTGGTTTCGTGAATTTCAGAGGTATAGTAAAATATGAGTTATGAAGTTTAGAGTTATAATAAAATATAAGTCTAGAAAAATGATATAAGTTTTGAAATTTGAAACAAACATGTGAGTAGAAATTTAAAATTATTGTTTACTTAGTGATAAGTGGCGGTAACACACAACGGGGGTCCATGATGGTAGCGGTGATGGAGATTGATTGATTATTGAGAGATGAAATCCACATTTTAATATCTTCCAAACTTGCTAGATATTAAAACTCTCCATTTAAAAGATTTATAATATCTAAAAATATCAAATTTGATATTTTTTGCGTCACCAAACATTCAAAAAAAATTCAAAACACACTTGTTTGTTTCCCAAACAAACTCACTCAGAGAAATATAAGAAATGATATCTCAATGAAATAATAATAATAATAATATTAATATTAATAAAATAATAATAATAATAGTTGATAGTACTCCATAATAAATTATTTGTGTACATATCCTAAATTATTTTCTAACATTTTTCTTTTTGCATCATATTGTGACAAGGGTTCTAATTATAGAAAAAGATATGCTCATTTATGAATGGTCATGTCTCTTTAGTAAGAGATACACCAATTCAAATTAAAAAAATCAATTGAAAATCAAAACAAATGTTCAAAAGTTATGTCATTTAAGATTGAACATGTCTCTTCAAAGATTTATGTCCATTTATTTAAAATTCAATTTTAAGTTATTTAATTAAAAGATGATTGTGGTTTAAATACAAACATACACTTTTGTCAGAAATGTTTTAAGCAATAAGCTCCACATTTAAATGCATCCAATGAAATGAATGTTTAACTCCCTATCCATTAAATGATACGGAATATCTTCCATCCATCCATATTTTTAAAAACCTTTTAAACATCACCAACCAAGGTACTCTTAGTATTAGTGCTCCCCAAAAAAATTATTAAGCAATTAACATTTTGATGGAGAATGATCAATTTGTAAGAAAGAGCATTAGAGCGTATATGGTATATCAATTGATATACCATGTGAGTAAAATTGTTTCATCACATATTCCGTATTACTTATATATATATTTATAAACAATACTAAATTTAAAATTAAACGTCTCAATTATAATATTCACATCAAATATTAAAAGGAATATATATTTCCGTGCAACGCACGGATGAAATACTAGTTGTGGTTTAAAGACAAACAGACACTTTTGTCAGAGATGTTTTAAGTAATATTTTAAAGTGGGCAGAGATCTTGTGTAGACCTTACTTATGTGTAGGGGGGAGAAACATGTTTGTGTAGACCTTATGTGTCTCCTTTGGTTGGGCTCAGAGATAATGAGTTAGTTGCTGGTTTAATTTTGATGCTAGAATCAAGCAAGCAAAGGAGCTAAACACGAGAAGGTCTATTTTGCTTTCGATAATTAATACATTTGATTACCTATCTCGAGAAACTATAGAATTTCCTAATAGAGTCTATTAGTGGGGTGTGACTATCAGTCTATCACCACCCAAATGCTTCACTTCTCGGTCCCTGCATAGATTTAACATATTTTGTATATTTTAAGAACTGATTTTGGGCACTAAAAAACGGAATTGGAGACAAATAAATATTCACACAAATATTATTATTTTTGATAATTAAATGGATGGACTAATTAATTGGTTGTTCTCTTGCCCCCTTACAAGTTTTAGGATGAAATGGAATTAAATCTATACACATAAAAATGGAATGAACTCTTTACACATACTTGTCTATTTATATATACTTGTCTATTAAAAAACAGAAAAATAAAGCCCAATTACCTATCCTAACCCATCTAAAAGACTAAAATGTCCAAGGCATTATCCTTTGGAGTTTCTAACTTACAAGGTGAGCTTCCAGCGCTCCTACTATGCCCCCTAACCTTCTCATCATTTCCCCCATTGTTGGATGATGCTTTGACAAGCTCTTCGCTTCTGCTCAACCCAGCGGGGACGACAAGCTTTCTGTTTTGCATCACTCCTTCCAACAATGTCTCGTCTTCTTCGTCGAGAACTTGTACCTTTGGCTTACTGTCATGGAGTGTTGCAGTACCCGGAACATGCCTTTTATCAGTTGATGATCTCCCTGTCGCCAAACCCCTGGTGGGCCCGTTAAATCTCATGAGGCAGATGAGCCGGTGAAGCCACATCACCAGCTCAAGGATGTATGAGTCCATTTTGTGTTTCTCTGCATGATAAAGTGTCTGCAGCCTGGTGAGGTTGGTCTTCTGCATATCCTCTTTTCTCCCGCATTCGTTTCTGCATTTAAGAAAACCTAGCACTTGTCAAGTTACCTACTTTGAAGAACAATGTCTGTGAGAAAGCAGGTGACAATTGAAATCACACTTGGGGTACCCCTAGCATGACCCAACCTCATAAACCGATCAATTGATAAAAGACAAAGGAAGTCCTTTAACTAACCCGGTGTTGGCCCACTCTCCAACCCATCCAAAACCTTGATGTGATCTGCTTCCACATCACAAGAATGAAACAATCAATGGCAGTGCATTGGCATATAAGTAGGAACAATGCAGAGTTTGTTTGTTCAAGTAAAACAAATCATGTTGATCTTACATACTTTGTAGTATCAATAGCGGCTGGAAGAAGCCAAATAAGAATTTTCTCCATTTCAGCCCTGATCTGAGGGACGGTTAACTGGTAAGATGCACATTGTAAATAAGCACACATAAATGTTAGATTTGGTATGAACTCGTTTTTCAAGAAGAGATGAGGTTTATCTCACACTAAAATCAATTCGGTAGCCAATCATGGCTTATTTTCCTTATATAAACAAAATAAATAGTTTTCGGATGAAAAAGAACCTAGAAAAGATTTATCCATTTCAGCCAAATAACTCAAACTCAACAACTGGTGTGGGATACCCAGAAGTAAATATAATAGCTCAAATCCCGGTGTATAAAAGAATGTTAAAGGATGAGAATTTGAAGGAATTAGTGAAAGAGCACAAACCTCTTCCTTGGTATCAGCTTGTGACTGTAGTTGAGATCGAAGTGATGCCTTCACGGTTGAAGGCAACCCTTTGTACAATGCATCCCTCGTGTTTGGGGGGAGGGAAGTGGGGCACGAGGCCTGCCATTATAATGAATACCCATTACAATTATAGTTCATGTGCATACCAAGTAACAATAAGTCAATAACAAGAACAATGTTTGCAAACTTCAACACTAGCTTACAAGGTTATCGATTTTAGTGATGAGGTTAGCATAGTGTAAGGAAAGACCAGTCGGTCCTAATCTTTCTACTCCCTTTGAATTCTTGTTGCACGCATATGTTAATCCTGGTCCAATTAAAGAAAAGAAATTGAATTCCAAGTATAGATATTAGAGAAACTTATAATACATTATAATTTATAAGTGCATAGATTATAAAAGCTTAATAAAGGAATCATACCACTATCTCCAAATGCATTTATAAATTTGTGATGAAGAGAGGCAACAATATCAACAAGCTTCTCCACAACCTTAAAAAAAATGTGTGCTTTTATCACGAAGCTCTAAAGAACATATGAAAGATTATCTGAACGCAATGCAGAGATTGTTGGAGTGTTTGGATAAGCAGTTTGAAAGCGTGCATTGTAGTTTGAATATTGTGTGTTTCAAGATGTATATTTTTAATTGAAAGTTGTGGTTTTGAAGTAGTGTTCGGTTGAGTGTTTTCAATGATCACTAGATAAATGTTACTCCGTAGAACATTGTTTTGAAAATTTACAAAAGATTACCATTATTTTGTCCATCTAACACTTAGTGCGGAAGTGTTGAACTTGAAATAGCATTTTGAGAGCCAAAATGCTTAGTCAATCACCTTTGTAAATTACCAAGAGTTACAAATTTAGAGAAGATAAATGATTAAAGATTACCTCTTCCAGAACTTTGGACCAGATGGATTTCTTTTTCAAGCCCCTCACAGTTTTCCTTTGTTTTTTTAGCTCAATGTGCAACATCTCAAGACTTTCTCCTACAACATCAATAAATACATAAATCTGAGAATATGCTCTCTCTGTCCCATTAAAACTTCATACTTTCTTTTTTCAGTCGCCCCAAAAAAAACTTCCTACTTATTTCCTTTTCAAAAAGTGAACATGTGGCACAAAAAAAATTCTATCATCTAAACAAATTTCGACCTCGTACTTTTTGCTTTTTAACACTTTTCTTAAACTCTATGAAAGTAAAACTAGGCTAATTTTTATGGGACTGATGGAGTATAAGATATACCTTTACGAGGTAGGTTTGAAGACACTAATTCATCGATTTGCCTCCTGTAATCCTGTTCGAATCTGTCCAGAGCATGTAACTCATGATACAGTTCCTGCACAAAGAACATCCACAATAGTACCGGATAACATTATGAGAGGTTGAAGTAGTCAATCAATTTGAATCAATCTTTTAATGTGGTCTGGTCTAATTGTCTAAGTGCACAGTCACATGACCTCAGCCTAATTTCGTGCTTCATCACTGACAAAGATAACACCTTCTAAAAGTGTGCAAAACATTCGACAAGAAAAAGAATCTTACTGAAGTATACTCTGCGAGTGTGGCCAACTCTTGCAAAGTCATTTCATCCTCCTCCATGAGTTTCTTATTGTTTACCGGGTCAGAATCCAACCTGACATAGTTACACAAATTGCTTCATACATTCACAACGGACCAAAGTGTAATCCCTGGAAAGCATTCAATAATTTCAATTTCACTAAAAATGTGACATACTTCGAAAAATAGCGATCCAGGTGGTGCCATTGTGGATCCTTGCACATATTTCCAAATCTCACTACTTCCCGCGAAAAGACATCAAATTCCTCCCTGCAAGAAATGCAAAAATATACATGTGATGAATTGATGATGCCTAAAGTCTAAAAGGTTTGAAACACAGTAAGGTCAGCACATCTTGAAACATCTTTGTTGCCAATAAGGTTGTTGTAACTTTTAAGAGGTGACAATCGTCATTTGTCCAACAATTATCAAAAAGGAACCATTGATTTCAACATGCATAGTTTTGCCTGGGAAAGTGCATGGTTTTTAAGAAAGACACTAACTAACCTTTTGTCAGCCGCGGCTATGGTGAGCAACTCTTGTGTATCAGTTGAGACCAACTCTTGCACAGCCTTTAAATGTAGAATCTCCTCTTTCAAGCGGCGAATGCTTTCTTGGGATAGAGATTGAGACAACGTAGCACCTTTGGAGATGGTATTAGCAACCTCAAATGCCAGTATGGATATTCTATTCCCTCTTGATCTCCCCGTGCCAGAAATAAACCCGCTGTTGTTTAAATTAGTGACACTGCTTCCTAAGCTGTCTAGAACTTCCACGGCCCTCTCAAGGCCTGCTGTCCCGGCTTTCCCAAGAAAAGAACTTGCTTGAGGCGCTGCCTGTCACAAAAAATGTCATCAATTCTGTTCCTACTTACCCAATGGCATAAAAATGCCATTCTGCTTAAATTTACCTTGTTAGTCTTCAACTCTCCTGAAATTGAGAGCAATTCGCCCGAAAAGTATAGGTCAGGCATCTTCTTAGGAGCACCAGGACTGGGATATTCATATGAACCTACATTCTTATCCTGCCCAGACGCTGCTACGGGCTCGAGCTTTTTCGAAACACTTGAGCCTCTCCCATGGCGGCCCTTATCCTTAGTTGTCCCTCCGGAGCAAATTCCCCCCATTTCTCTGCCCAACCAAGTTTCAACCTATGCACCAAGCTAGATCAAGTAAACAAGAACGATTTCAGATTGTTTGCCTATAAAGATCAAATCTTGTTCGTGTTTTATTGGATTGTTATCAGACAAAGACTAAGGAACAGGGCATATGACGAATCAAATAAACATTGAAGCAGCAAAATGAACAGTTCAAAAGCTCATACCGTACCGGGTCAAGCGATGGAAGAATGAACTTCAATCTTCAACTGCACAAAACACTTGACCGATCCGATAACTTTGTACTGCGATTCCGCATTGAATTTGTCTTACTTCTCGTATCTGTCCCCATCTCACTGAATTTGTTTTTTGTTTTCTTTCTGGGCGATATTTGGGCAATAGAGAAATGGAAGTAAAAGTCTCGTCAGAGATGTAGGCGGAACGCGGCGGGAGCCCGGAACAGAAAGACGAGTTCTAATCTCAATTGCGAAGTCAATACCGCCGGCGGGTGGGAGCTGTATTGTGGATTACCGCCCTGAACATTTTTAGTTGACGAAATTGTAACTTGCATTTGATTACTTTTGATCATAAATTTCATAATTTGATTCTTAAAAATTAAAAAAATTTCATACTCCGTATTTAATATGAAGTTAACTATAATCAAATACTCCCTATTTGTTACTCCCTCCGTCCTATAAATCTATAATGTTCTTCCCGATTCATTTTACGAGGTTTGACCGACTTTATTTTTAATTTAATTTATCTGATTGTAGGTGTAAAATTAAAAAATAAAATTTATATATTTAAAAAATACTTAATAAAAATTGGTAAAGTAAATAATTAAAGTTTGACCAAATAAAAAGTAAGTAGAAAGAATATTTTAATACAGAGAGAATACTTTTTATGAATAACTTTTTATTATGGAGTACATCTTTTATCATGTTATCACTATAATCCTAGGTTTGATCATCAACGGCGAATGTGAATTATCATTGAAGTGGACATCGACTCTATCGAACAAACGACAAATCAATAGCAAGCAATATGTACTCCGAATTAGAATATGGCAATAAAGATGAAGAGCCAGTGTGAAATTACATGTTTATTCTTCAATTTAACACAAAGATGGTAGAATATAAAAAGTATTTTCTATTGATGGTAACTATGCAATTAATATTTGCACTCCACTAATGTTAACTACACTCCACATCTACCTATCTTTTTCTAAAATGACTATAATATCCTTTGTTACAATGACAAAATAAATTCACTTAATTATATTGACACTAGCTAGCAACATTTGCACTCCACTATATTTTTAATATTTATTCTTGACTAGAATAATTTATACTTCATTTGTTCACATTTTTTTGTCATTCTAATTTTTTTCATGGCACAATATTTTAAAACTCTCTGGTTCCATTAAAAATTATGAAAAAAATTAGGTGATAAAGTTGTTTTTTATAAAACATATTGCAACTTGCGATTATTTTAGAAAATAAAGTACAAAGTAAAATTTATTTTTCTTGATCGAGGAAATATGAAATTGTTTATATATTATTTTAGTTATTAAAAATAGTGTCCATATTGTCTCGTTACTTTGGGATATATAAGCTGATGCCATGTAAATTAAGAAACAAAAAAATGTATGCGAGATATCAATTTTAAAAATAAGAAAAAATAAGAATAAGTATAACTTACAATAGAAATTATTTTAAATAAGACTAAAACATAAAAAAAAATATCAAAATAGAACTTCTATAATTTAATTTTTAAATACTCCCTCTGTCTTATAATGATCTTCTCAGAGCATTATTCTAACTTCACGAGAATTTATATTTATTTGTGTTTTTTCAGGGCGTATATGATAAAATAAAATATTCTTGTCACCACTTGTTTTGTTAAACTTTTGATATAGTTTTTAAATATGTATGTTTTATTTTTTATTTCTATACCAATATTTAAATAAAATAGATCGGAAAAATTTGAAATTTTCCTTCGTTTTGTGAACTGGGAAGATCATTATAGGACGGAAGGAGTAAGAGTTTACATTGTGATAATGTAGAGGTAATGTGACACTATACACGTAAACATTATTATACTTTTTGATAATATATATGATCAGATTTAGTAATATAAAAGCATTTTAACTTCTATTTTGGAAATAAAAACAAAGAAGTCCTATTTTAGTATTTTTTTAATGTTTTGCTCCTATTTTAGTTTTTTTTTAACTTAAAACATATTATTTCGGGACATGGGTAAAAACATGTGAATTTAGAAAAAAATAACTACTCCGTATGATTTATAATCATGTTAAAAAGAAGAGCCATGCTAGGGTACACCTTTGTCCCCCCTTTCTACACCATTCATTTTTATCTACTTTTTATTTATTTAATTTTTTTAAAAATTTTTTGCCCATTTTTGTGTAATGGAAGGGATGGGGGACAAATGAAGTACAAACTTTGATGTCCCCCTAACATTTTTCTAAAAAGAATAAGAAAAATAGGAATCAATGTATCAAAAAGTAGTTTGGACAAAAATAGTACTCCCTCCGTCCTAAATAGAGTTTCCTACTTTAATTAACGTGCAAAATCCCATAAATTTTAAAATAATTTTATTTAAAAATCGGTAAAGAAATAACACATAGAAAAAATTATATTTAAAAACTACATCGAAAACTCTACAAAATAAGAGGTGATTAGAATATTTTATTTTATCAAATGATCAATGAAAACACGCAAACAAACAAAAGTTATCGAGAGACCATAATAGTAAACAAGAAAGACTTTTTGGATAAAAAAATGTCAGAAAATATCAAACAAATGAAGTATAAATTATTTTGATTAAAATATTTTTTTAAAAAATAGTGGAGTGTAAATTGAGTACGTTGTGGTCATTTGTCAAGATTGGAGAGGGAAACATAAAAAACCGGTTTTAAGAGCATTGCATTATTATAGGAATTGAAAAAAGTCACATTTTTGTTAATAGTAAATCTATAGAAAAAAAGAGTAAGATAAGACTATTTTTGTAAAAGAAAAAAAATAGAAGAGTACTATTTATGTAAAAATTTGAGCTACTGTCAATATTGGTAAGTAAATCTATAGTCACGACCCCTCTGTTGCAGCATATGCCAAAACTAGTTTTTCTCTAGTTTTTTAGTTAAATATCCAATTACAAAAGTTCTATTATCTAGTTTATCCATGCCAAGCAATAAGTAAAACATCGAAGATTAGAATTGAAGTTCATCAGAGAGAAGAAAGTATGAAACCCATCAGAAATTTGATGCAGCACAAAAAATGAATCAAAGTTTAAACGAAAATTCTTCAGAGATACAAATCAAATGTTTCTTCACAAAAAGAAAAAATTAAATACAAATTACAAAAACAAGAATATTGCTAAATTAAAAAGCATTGAAAGAACGAAGGATTATAGAGCACTCAGAATGAGTAGGAGGTTGTTAATCCTTCATGTCAATATATCGGAATATTTTAAATTAATCCTCATTGTGCTCCCCAGCCTTCACTGAAATAAACCCAACAATGAAAGAAAAAAACATAATCGCAATTATTTGTAAAACACAAAAGAAAAAAAAGAAAATAAAAACAAATTAGTTGACAAATTATTGTGGCGCCATCAGAAAATATAGATCAGTATACATCATGAGGGATCAGACGACCGTCGTGAGAATTTTGATCGTAAATTCATCATTAGGCATCGCAACTTTCGTCGCGACAAGAAAATCTTAACGAATTCTTTAACAAAGAGACTAAAGATTAAAGAGAAGAAGGAAAGGAAGTAAGAAAAGAAGAGACCTGAGATTTGTATTCCATGCCACCGGGATTAGGGTTTCATAGACGCCGATATTTATGCACCATTCCATGGGCCGGGGTTTACTTCTGCTCAACTTTGCAAGCCCAAATTCATACTCGGCCGTGCCCTTCAAAAAATTTCAATTATCATTTCTATGGCCATGTTTATTAAATGGTTGTTCACCTAGCATTTGATATCTTTGACCAAAAATGGTAAATTGGATTAGTCAAATCGCCCAATTAAATGTTTGGATAATGTCTTTTAGAATTGAAATTTACAATCGAACAGCCAAAAATTGAAATGCTAACTCTAGCAACATTTCACTTAGTTGTTCACCTCCTTTTCCGTTTCCTACCCTTTTCTTGGTGTTGCGTCTCTCTGCGATTCTCAGGCACCGGAATTGGTATAAGTACTTTTATATATTTCTGATATCATATTTAAAAAATTACAAAATAAAATGTTTCATGCGTGGTTGTTATTTATAGAATGATAAATGAGAAAAATACAAAAAAAACTACTTATAAAATCTAAATATAAATTCTGATTTATTAAATTAAAAAAAATGAAGTAGCCTTTTTTTTCCAAAAAAAAAAATATAAGATATCATATTTAAAAAATTAAAATTGGAGTAAAGTATATTAAAAATATATTACTCCCTATATCATATTTAAAAAATTATAAAATAAAATATATCATGCATGGTTGTTATTTGTAGAATGATAAATGAGAAAAATAATAAAAAAATCTACTTATAAAATATAAATTCTCATTTATTAAATTAAAAAAAACGAAGTAGCCTTTTTTGTCCAACAAAAACAATACTCAATATGATATCATATTTAAAAAATTAAAATTGGTGTAGAGTATATTAAAAATATATGATATCATATTTAAAACATTATAAAATAAAATATATCATGCATGGTTGTTATTTGCAGAATGATAAATGAGAAAAATTCAAAAAAAAATATACTTATCAAATATAAATGTAAATTCTCATTTATTAAATTAAAAAAATAAAGTAGCCTTTTTTGTCCAACAAAGAAAATATATGATATCATATTTAAAAAATTATAAAATAAAATATATAATGCATGGTTGTTATTTGTAGAATGATAAATGAGAAAAATACAAAAAAATCTACTTATAAAATATAAATGTAAATTCTCATTTATTAAATTAAAAAAACGAAGTAGTCTTTTTTGTCCAACAAAAAAGATATATAATATCATATTTAAAAAAATAAAATTAGTGTAGAGTATATTAAAAATATATACTATTTATATTTAAAAAATTATCAAATATAATATATCATGCATGGTTGTTATTTGTAGAATAATAAATGAGAAAAATATAAAAAAAATCTACTTAAAAAATATAAGTGTAAATTCTCATTTTTTAAATTAGAAAAATGAAGTAGAATTTTTTATCCAACAAAAAAAATATGTGTAAAGCATTTTCTTGTATAATGTGTGTATTTTATCAAATTAAAAAAATTTAAAATCATACACAAATTAACATTAATGGAGTGATTCCTTATATGTAATGTTACTCACAAACAACTAACTATAAATAGCTAAAGTTGCCAAACATCTAATTTTTAACAGCTAACAGAAACAACTGTTCAAAACAGCTAACTTAATCAGCCATTCAAACTAGTCAACATAAACATCCAACTGCCAACTGCCATATTTCAAACAAGACATATGCCTAAACTTTATTTTCCCTCGTAAAATTCTT